CCCCAGGTTTTATTGGTTATGCTGTCAACATGATTAACCTGGATAATCCCAGTTACATAACTGATTACGACCATGATTGTGGGAGACTATAGTCTACATATTGTTTGGCATTTATGTGATACGGATGAAATATTAAACGGTGTCGTAAGCCACAATCAAAATAGACTAAGAGAGTAAATTTTGTTAATAAAGGGTTAATTTTGTATAAGTTACATACGATTTATAATTTTGTATGTGATGTAATTATGTATGAGATGAGAAAAGTTAGCAATTGGTTGTTGTACATGTTTCTTATACACAATAGCAGTCATGTTGATATTTATGATATATGAAGATCGTTGTCATCAAGTGTGGGACTGAATGTTCATTCCATTCCGTCTTCTAAAAAATCAGTTGATGTAGGCTGTGTGCTTGTATTCAAACTGAGCTTGACTTGAGGACATGTTAGTTTGTTATGTCCCTCACCGTTGCAGTACCCACATCGCCTAATTTTCTTCTCGACCTTGTTCTTCGATACTTCTTTTCACTTGCGTTGTTTTCGTTGAAGATCACGAACGTTGTTTACTACAATGCTCTGGTTTACTGAATCATTCAAAACAAATGATTTTTCTAATTCTTCTATTAGTCTTTTCATCTCATCTCTTGCGGTTTGAAAGACACATCTATATTTGATGCAATGTAGCATAACCTAAATTGACGTTGAACGTAGAGCAGCGAACCTTGCCATTTGCATCACTTCTGGAGACACATTCAAGTCAACATAACTGGGTGCAGAAGCCTTCGTATCCTTAGTCCACCTACTTTGAATCAAAGTCCCGGGCAAATATGTGTAATCCAAGTGCTTCAAAATGTGAAGTTGATGGCGACACGGAAGTCCAACGGTCTCGAATTTTTTGCAGTAGCAAATTAGGGTTTTCGTACGAGAATCAAAACTAATTTCAAATGTCCTATTTTTTTCTTTGTACTTTGACAAAATATAATGTTGACATTCATCTGATAAGGACTGAATCTCTTCCTCAATCCAGTACAATGTCTCCCGCAGAAGTTCATCTTGGAATGCACGAAAAGATTCGCGGGTAAAAATCTCAGTAGCATTGCTTTTAAGGTCGACCAGTTTTGTGATCTGGAAGAGCTTCGTATGGGAACTTAAGTAATCCTCTTTCAACTCGTTCATACACATTCTACTAATTCCATCTTCAATTGCACAAACAACATCTAAGTATATCTTCTTGTGTTTCAGTGCAATCGCTAGTGAAGCATTCATAGACTCACACCTTTGTGTTGAGCGAATATTGGCAAAGAAATGACCGGTTAGATATGCTTGTGCCCATAAGTGTCGAGTATTTCCCTTCTCAATCCCCGTGGATGCTTTTCGATGTTGAATTCTGAAAAAATATGTGACATTCATCTGATAAGGACTGAATCTCTCTCAATCCAGTACAATGTCTCCCAGAAGTTCATCTTGGAATGCACGAAAGATTCGCGGTAAAAATCTCAGTAGCATTGCTTTTAAGGTCGACCAGTTTTGTGATCTGGAAGAGCTTCGTATGGGAACTTAAGTAATCCTCTTTCTCGTTGTTCATACACATTCTACTAATTCCATCTTCAATTGCACAAACAACATCTAAGTATATCTTGTGTTTCAGTGCAATCGCTAGTGAAGCATTCATAGACTCACACCTTTGTGTTGAGCGAATATTGGCAAAGAAATGACCGGTTAGATATGCTTGTGCCCATAAGTGTCGAGTATTTCCCTTCTCAATCACCCGTGGATGCTTTTCGATGTTGAATTCTGAAACTTTAGCATAAGGGATAACAGATTTGATAGCCCTCTGCATTGCCCTATCCCCATCGGTGACAACTGAAATAGGTGATTTATTCATCATGGCTTCTAAAATATTCTGTAGCACCCACTTGAAAGATTGAGACGTCTCGTCAGCGATTATGGCAGTGACAAACATAATTGTGTTATGGTGATGATTGACACTGACAATAGGCATAATTAGTCGACCATACAAATTATCTTTGTACGTTGTGTCGAACGCAATTACATCACCGAAGCATGTGTAATCCGATCTCGATGTAGAATCCGACCAATAAGATTATGCAATGCCCCTGATTCGTCTTACCGAGTATGTCATAAAAAACCCAGGATCATCATGTTTCTTATAATCAAAGTAGGCAATAAGCGCATTCACATCCCCATCGACGATTTCCTTTGTTTTACCTCTTTGAAGTGCATTGTAGAGGTCTTTATGTGTAAATCTAACATTATGATAGCCCCCTGCCTGTTGCGTTAAATAGTTCATTACTTGTGACGTGCCAACACCGACCTCTTTCAATGTTGTTGCCTCATCGATATCAACCTTACTTACAGCTATATTAGAACGCATAAATGGTGTCATAGCAGGTGTGCACAATGCATGATTATGTTTCTGATAAGACTTACTTATAACCCACTGATCATTTGTATTTGTTGTTGAAACTACGACTCTAGCCTTACATCCTGTTCTTGTGACTGGCGTATGAGCACGTTGACGATCAACAATATTGACTTTTGATACTCAAAACCCTTATTTAGAACAACAAAATTCTTGTGTCTTCACATTCCCTTCCATGTTAAGCCGTGTTGTTCCCTTACGTGCACTAAACCCATGTTCTCGTGCGAATCCATTGTAAAAGTACTAAGCTTGATCACGTGAACAGAAGAGCTGACCAACCAATCTGTCAGATTCATCAACATTATGTACTTCATGGCATTCCTCGGTTGGCTTAACATTGTCTACATCAGTATGATCCATGGCAAAAATTTTGTTGTGCAAGTTCAGTGGTCTCGGAGTTGATGGAGATGTAAGTAAAGGTTCATTGAACATGTTTCAGTCGTGCTACTTTCAATAGGGTGTGGTATTGGTAGTGGTAGATAAAGGGTGGGTACAACATTAAATTAGCAGTACATATTTAGATATGTATAATAACTACCTAAATATGTGTCGATACATTTTCTACAAGTATCGACCCAAAAAAATGTATCGACACAAAAAACTTCAAAACCAATAATTATAATGTAATAGGTAAATTTAACAATGTAACCGTTATAAATATACCGGTTAATTAGAAAACAAGTCAACATAATGTATCGACACTTGTGGAATTTGTGTCGATATTTATTGTCCAGAATGAATGCCCAAACGAGGTGCATATATAAAGTATCGATACATTTATTAAAAGTATCGATCACAAAAATATCGAAAACTGATAATTATAATGTAATAGGTAAATTTACAATGTAACCGATATAATATACCGGTTTTATGAGAAAATAGGTCAGCATAAAGTATCGACACTTGTTAAATTTGTGTCGATACATTTAGTCAATAATGAATGCCAAACGGGGTGCACGCATAGAGTGTCGATACATTTATTAAAAGTATCGATCCCAAAAACATCGAAACGAAAATTACAATGTGATAGGTAAATTTACAATGTACCCGGTATAAATATACCGGTTTTATGAGAAAATATGTCTAAATAATGTATCGACACTTTTTTAGTTTGTGTCGATACTTTTTTTCAGAATGAAATATGAATGCCCAACGAGGTGCAAGCATAAAATGTCGATACATTTAAAATTGTATCGATCCAAAAAACATCGAAACCGATAATTATAATGTAATAAGTTAATTTGCAATGTTACCGGTATAAATATACCGGTTTACTTCAAAAATATGTCAATATAAGTGCTGCCTATTACATTATATAAGAGCTATCTAATATGTTATTGTACTTGATAATATTTCCGGTTAAATGCCTATTTTATTATATAAGCGCTACATATATAAGCGCTACCTAATATTTTACTGTACTTGATAATATTTTCGGTTAAATGATATAACATAACCGGTCTAAATTTTAACTTGTCACTTATTTAACCGATCACGCCGTTTTTTAACCGCCCGTACAACAGAACTTGCGTAATGAATTGGGCTAGTAAATGGCCTCTAATTACCCTAATAAAGCTCTCCTCCTTTGACGAAGCGTAGTTTGATGCAGTTTTCAAACATTTATATGACACAACCGTGTTTCTAAGCAAACCATTGGAATTGCCAACTTAATTATTGTCTTTAAATGAAGAAAGCTTATTTGAAGAGTAAGGTGATGCAGCCTCCTTCAAGTGTAGGGTTCGTAAAGTTTATTTAGGCTTCCTTGATATTGAAATTTATTATAATTAATTCATATAATATACGGTGACAAAACAAGTACACCTAACATGGACCATTTATAATTAAGTTTGTTCCTTATCAATAAGTTTTTATTTTTTATTTCAATAAAACAATGCAATAGAAGTTAGTTAGAAACATAATCTAATGACACAATGAGATGGAAATTAAGAATCGATGGGTAAATTAAGTTTTAAGCTAACTTGCATTATTTAACTTGATAAAAAAAGCATCGGATAAAAATGAAATTAGTGTTAAACTTAGGGTTTTTTTAAATAAATTTTCAAATAGTTTGAGGTGATTATAAGATAATATATGTTCATAATTTTTTATTTCGTCTATCGACAACATACACCTGCTTGCTTAAACCCAGCTTTTTTTAGAGAGAACATTCACTTTTATTACTAAAATCATTTAATGAATTCGTGTATTTTTAAATTTAATTCATTTCATAGTTATATTTATATAAAAATAAAAATAATTAAATCATATAATGTGGGAAGGAAATAAAATAAACGATTACCATAATCACTCTATATCCATTAATAAAAAAAGTCCATCCCTCACTCCATTTGAAGTGGAATGTTTAGAAATTCATTGTATGACTCAAATTTTGCCATTTAAGAGTGAATACTAATTCTATAGTCTGAATTCTGAATCTTGTTACGTAAGGATAAATTCAAAAAAATAAATATTTATTTTATTTAAAATTATAAATAAATAAAATAAAACCAATAAAAACCAACAATCCAATTTTTTTTCTTTTACGGTCTTCTCCATTCAATATACATATGCCCGAATTTTGCTAAGATATGTAATTCATCTATCATTTACAAAATTATAATTGAGCATCGAATATTCAAGTCACTCACATCGATATATTGAGATCAATGCGAGGCTTCTTAGCAGCTGGCATAATGGGAACAAGGGTATTGCACCTAGGACATTTAGGGTTATGTTTCATTATCAACACATAGGATAAGCAAGCTGGGCAGCCAGCCGCGACCGGCGACACGAGCTTCTCTTCACCCAGGTCACCCTCTAGTGAATATTTGATCGAAGATGACGACGAAGAATACGAAGGCGATAAAGGTGATTTCCACAACGACGACATTGATGTTCGCTTCTTTACCGGCTCTTTCTCAAATCTCTCGAGCGCAAATTTTACTTTGTCTAGGGTGCACACGCTCTGGTAATTGCTCGACGACGGTGAAGAGACTAATTTCAATTCCAAGCTGCTCTCATCAAATAGGTTTAGCAAAGGTTTAGAAGAAGGCAATGGCGTTGCCGGGAAATTCAAATCTTGAAGCTTTGCCATTGTTTGATTAGTTTGGTGCTTAGTCCCATCAGACGATGATGAAGAAGAGTTTGTAGAATTGCATCTTTGCAAGTACACTTTACCAGACTGCAACCAATTTACAAAATAATAAATGACTCGTACATTAATTACAACATTTAATCTAATAAAATCAACAAAAATACATAAAGAATTGGGTATGCGAAAATGTTAAAGAAAATACATTGCAATTAATGCCATGATTCAAAGAGACGCTATAGTAATTAATAAAAGTAAACCATAGCAGGCGACATTTGAAGTTGCAGACCATTAAAGAGTAGATTGATTTGAAGGTAATTAAATGCAGATTTTAATGCTATTGATTGGTCATTAAAATCAATTTCTACAAGGAAATAAAATGTTAAAAAAGTGAATGAGTTATATATTTTGCATCTAATATTTATTTAGAATCTGATTATGAATAAATGGCTTATTTCAGTTGGAAGAAAGTAAATTAATGAGGCAACCAAATTGTGTTGATTGATTTAATCTCCCAATTGCTTCATCACTTTCTCAGGACCCAAACAAAAGAATTTAACAAGAACAGAGAACTAATCCAAACAAACATATATTACATTCCCAAAAGGGATGATAGTAGAAAAACCTCCTACCAAATAAAAAATTATTGTAAAAAAATTATAGAACATTCATAACTGAATTCAACTGATGAAGAATCATATAACAAAGATAATTAAAACGAAACTTCCACTGACGAAATTGAAACCATGAGTGGGGAAAATCATATATGGCATTCGATCAAGGCGGAGCCACCACCTCCGGCGCCAAGCAAGTCTCTAGTAATCAAAGCCGTTGATTTCGCTCCAACGGATTCATTCCCCAGCGTTAGATCATCCTTGAACCCACTTAAAACTCTGTGCGATGAGCTAACGTCGGCAACCATAGCCAAAGAGCTTCTTCCTAGTCTAGCTTTCTTGAGACAGAAAACAGAGTTTTCTTTTTTGCTTTCTCTTGGAGTAATGTGACATTAAATATACAGAGATATGTGAGCCATTTATAGGTGTTATAGAGAGTATTATAGTTACGTTATTTAATATAAATAAATAAATAAAGGGTCATAATTTGTGTATTTAATCACTATTAAATTAAATTAAATTTTGATTTTTAAAAAATATATCAATTGATTAAATTACTTGTCCTAATTTATTTGTTTCATTCATTGCTTTGCTTATCTATTTAGGTGGTTATTAATAGGTATTTATAGATACAATTATGTAATTAATAATTTCTCTGAAGAATGACAAGGTCACTATATATGTTACCGTATAGATGGTAATACATTTAAATTATGAATATTTCAGGTGCATTTTTTTTATTGAATATAATTTTTGAAAAATGTTTTTTTATAAATAAATTTCAGTGTCTGTTTCATGAATTAATAGAAAATATATTATTTTTATGTAAATTGATTTCTCCTTTTTTTAAAAAGTGTGATTATTCATAATTATTTTAGATATTTAGTATTAGAGTAATAATACACTTACTTCTAGAGCAAAACTTGTTTTTTTTTTTTACTTTTTAAATATCGTTAAATGAATGAAGATAAACGGTTAAGATAATCTCATTTTTTTAGTGAACATCTTTTTATTTTCTATTATTAATATTATCTGTATATTTCAAATCATCAAATAATCTTAAAAAGATATAAAAGTATAAAAGTTCTATACAATAAGAACGAATCTTGCTTCTTAATGTGTAAAATTCCACCTACACCTAATGTAAAACTTTTAATTTTATTTTTTTAAGATGATTAGATGAGTGGAAATTGACGACTGTGATGATTTTCTTCTTTTTACAGTAAAAGTTTTATCATTTTCTACTGTTAATATCAATAATATATTTTCACTCATCAAACAATCCTCTTTAATTGTTACATTCTTGATGTAACATTCTAATGTGTTAATACAACGGCCTATAGTCATAACATGATAGTTTAGTAAGATAAACATAATTAATTAATATATTTAACTAAATATAAATTTAATAGAATTTGCATATATTATAAGAAATAATAATAAAATTGAATCAGACAGGTGCTCGTCGAATCAAATAGCACGAACTCAATGGAGGCTGTGAAGACTTTCATATAAAAGACAAGAGTTCTCACTTATAAAATTGATCCGTAAGTTGTTTCATGGAAACATCGTAGTTGGTTCATTAGTTAAGATGAATCGAGATAAAACCATGGAATGAGACTTCGACACTCTCCTCCCAACTGACTGTGTTGGTGCATGAAGAAATTACGTTAATTTCATCAAATTAAGTGTCTTGATAAATAATATTAATAAAAAAATTCTAAATTTTATTTATGTAGAAATAACATTTCCGGATATAAATTCAACAAAGACCCACACCGATCAACTAATAACATTTCAATGTATTTATTAAGGTAGGGTGGAGAGTGGGAAAGGAGAAGAGAAAGCATGCAAATAATTAAGTATCCACATTAATCATTTGGAAACACAAGTGGACAACGGGTATCTAATACATAAATAATTTTAGCAAAACTCATAAAAATTCTAAAATAATAATAATAATTTTAGTCAACGTAAGTAATTTGATTTTTTTTATATTATAAAACAATAATCCATTTGATTGCTGATTATCTTTTTTTTATTATCTTTATGTTTAACAATCATATTTGCTAAAATTTAAAAAAAACCAATAATATTTTTGGTCAGCTTATGTAATTTAAAAATATTATCAATTTTGCATGAAATGACAATTTATTTAATTTATCATCTTCGTTATTGAGTAACATAATAATATTTTTAATATTACTATACATATAATATTTGCATTCAGTACATCAAAAACTATCAATAAAACTATCCAATGTTGCATTTAATATTATAATTAATTTATTAATCAATTTAAAAAAACGTAATAAAACCTCAAAATAATAGTATGTATTAAATGGAGTAGGTTTTGATATGACTACGTGTATTAAAGTTGTGCAAAGCATTTTTGACTTTATTAAAAATATTTGAGGCGTTAGTTGAAGGGAGATGAACGACTGGTGATTTGTCAATTAAAATTCGAGTTTAATATCGTTGCTTCATTCACCTACCCAGGAGCATTTTCAAAGTAGTTAAATGATGCACCCTTCCATCTTCTTTATTTAATATTTAGTTTTGGGTTATTGTCAACGTATTCAAAATTAGCACGTATTTATTTTGAATATATCTTTTTGAATAATGGTAACTAGAATTTAATAATTAAAATAATTAAAATTACAATACACCCGAATGAAACGAGAACAAATAAAATAATTCATACAAAAATAAAAATATTAAACTCAAATATACGTAGAAAAATGAAATCTCCTTGAGAGTAATGTCGAACACCAAAATAATTTAGTAACTTTCTGTCAAACAAGACACTTTACGAAGTAATAAAGGAGTGGTAACCGAATCAATCTATATGGCAGATTGTTTCACTACACTATTCTGATTAACTATATCACCAAACAACATTTTATCAAAGATGAGATCTAACTATATATGACCACTGACAAGCCAATCATAAAACAAACGCCGTGAAAGTTTTGCACGAGTACTAAAACAACCGCAAAGGTATATGAAAAATGTACCAAAAGTCATAACGAACATGCTTAGGGGAAGAGCTCTCTTGGGGCCCAAAGGGCCCCGACCCCTGTAAAAAAATTGTGTTTGGTATATTTTGATCAAATAATATTATACTTTATGTAAAAATAAGTATTCAAATTAAAAAAATAAAAGAATTTATTAAATATTTAATCAAGTAGGGGTCGAAATAAAGAATGATAATCCAATGTTCTCAATTTTATGTCTAATAACAATTTAGGTCATTATAAGTTTAAATATTAAACAAATTAGACATTGTCTTCTGAATTATAAGTTTAAATACCTAATAAAACATTGTATGTTTCTTACAAAGTTTTGGCAAAATTGGGTTCGAATCCCATAGCCCTTTTGTGGTGAAAAAGACTGAAAAACTGAGATATGAAATGCCCGCATTAAGATTTAAAACTTGTCGTCGACTTTCAGGAAATGTTCGGAACAGAGAACTTACAATAATACAAGGCCGCAATCTCCGAAGATTGAGGAACAAGAAGAGATTTTCTTACAAAGTTTAATATCTAATTATGGTTCCGTCCCTGAACGTGTCACAAGCGCAGAGAAAACATTTATCACGAGAGCATAGAAAAAACATGTCATAAGAAAAGAGATTCTTATTAAAAATTCAAGAAAAGGGGAAAACAAAGGACATAATATGTTAAGAGGAAGTCTACAGCCAAAACTTAATGTTCAAGGTCAACCGAAAGTTGCTGCTCCAATGCAAACTCGATCCTATCTCTAATTGTAATTTGATTACCATCTTACATCTAAGGTGTACATAAACCTATCCTTGTGAATAATGACAACACAATCAATTTTTACATGGTATCAGTAAGTCATTAAGCACCAATGCAAACTCGATCCTATCTCTATCCATGGTTACTGTCATCCAACTCACCCAAACTCAGCTCCCACTCAAACTCATAAATATGAAATTTCTTTCCTCGTTTCACCAAATTGAATCACTTCTCATTGGTTTAGATTTAATCGGCTATATCACAGGTGATACCCCTATCCACACAAAAATATAGTCTCAACAGAAAAGAATGATGCTCGTGAATCTAAAAAAGTTAAGAATCCTAAGTATCATCTTTGGGAACGACAGGACAAACTGATTGTCCAAGCGATAGCCTCCTTTCTTTTAGAAACTGTTGTACTGGTGATAGCTATGTATGTCACGTCCATGGAAGCGATGAACAAGTTGATTGTTGTCTTTTCTAGCAAAACAAAATCGAGAGTGATAGCACTCAAAAGATCCTTGACGATGTTGACGCAAGGAAACAAACCTGTTGTTGAATTCCTTTAAAGTGCCAAGTCCTTGGTCGATGAACTTGCCCTAGCCCAAGCCCTGATCCCTAATGATGAATTGGTGATTTACATCTTCAGCGAAATTAATCCTAAATTGAATGATATTGTCACTGCGTTGAAAGCAAGGGAAACAACACTCACCTAGAAAGAATTAAAACGACAAGAAAAAGGGTTCGTTACACCTCTTAGTGTGAATTATGTACAACGAGGAAGAGGCAGTCATATTTCACGACCACCAAACAATGGAAATTACCGTGATAACAATTTCGATCCTAATTTCAGAAATCGAAAAGAACCAAACTATAGCCGAAAATTCTGCTCAAGGTCCACAACATTCAACCTCTCAACTTTGTGGTAAATATGGTCATGATGCCAAAATCAGCAAGAGCAGGCAACATAAAATATGGTTCAAAAAGCCCCGAAAACGGCAGCGTTGGGTCATTGACAGTGATGCCTCTACACATGTGACCAACGACATAGCAACCTTGGATGCCTACGACGATTACGGGGGCAACGATGAGCTAATCAAGGCAAATGGTAAAGAAATTCCCATCCGAAAATAGGTTCCATCAAAATTATTTTATCTCCAAAAAATTTACATCTTCCCAATAGTCTTCATGCCCCTACTTTTTAGTGACATTTGGGGAGCCCAAAAAAATAATTCTCTTGAAAATCATCATTATTATATAATTTTTGTAGACCATTTCTCTCGTCTTACATGACTCTATCCACTAAAACATAAATATGAAGTTCAAACAATTTTTTTAATATTTAAGGCTAAAATTGAAAATCTTATAGAAAATAAAATTCTTATAATTTTTACTGACAATGGGGTGAACACATGGGACTTACAAAGTTTTTTAACGAACATGGATTACACATCTAACGAGCCCGCCTCACACCTCAGAACATAATAGAATTTCATAGAGAAAATATAGACATATAGTTGAGACATGTTTAACCGTATTACATGATG